CAGCACAGGGTGGACCTCACTATGACACAGCCCCAGGCAAAGAAGCAGCCTGACCTGTCTTGTCCACGAGATATAAGCTTCTGTAGCCACTGCTGCTCTAGAGCCTCCAGTGGGCTGGTGGAATGGCTCAAGGGGTAGATCACCTGCCTAAGCATGAGGCCCTGAGTTCAAACCCCAGTGCTGCTAAAAAATAAAAAGAGACTAGAGCCTCCAGTGTCAGCCCTCTGAAGGCTCCTCAGCAAGTGCAGCTCTGAGTGTGTCCTCAAGAGAGGGAGGCAGGCAGGTGTAGTGTGCCAGGCTGAGAGCATTGAATCCCCTGAAGCACTTCCCAGTCACCCTGAGGTACAGGCCTCTGTGTGGCTAGGAGCATTGACCACTGCTCTTTGGTGCAGCCTTCAGCCTAAAGTCTCTAGGGTCCAGTCAGCAGAGGGGAAAGCAGTGTACCCTGGGCCTTTTATTAGCAGCCACAAGGACAGAGGAATGACACAGGGAGGCATGGGAGCAGAGGGAGGGGGGAGGTAGAGGCTGGAGCCTTGGCTGTCATGAAGGTAGAGTGCCCCAGCTAGCAGACGCCCATACCATCGTGGGCTTTCAGCGGTCTCATGAACCTGTTTACACTGCCATTTTGCCACCTCCCCTCCCCATCTCCAGGAAGGTTCTGGACAGATCATGGCTGGCCCCTCCCTCCCAGCAGTCTGCTCAAGGACCTTAAGACAGCCATCTGCATCCTTCTGCCAGGCAGTGGCAGATGGGCAGCTCCCTCTGCACCTGTGGGTGGAGCCAGGGCTCCTAATGAGGACAGCCTTACCAAGGCCTGGCTGCCAGCCCAGGCCTCTGGGACTAGTGGGTCAGGGCTCATGAGTCACATGAGGTGAGCACCCAGTAACAGGGCAGTGGCATGGTGGGAGTGTCTCCTGCTGCTATCACTGTCATCTGTGAGGGCTTCAAGTGGGGTTGGGGTGAGGCCAGGTGGGGCCCAGTCCTATGCCCTCTAATCAGGAACCTGTGTCAGGGCAGAGCTGGGCCGGGTATTAAGAGCGCCAAAGAGCACAGGCACCAAGCATCCTGGGAGGATGAGAGGCACAGGGCTCGTCCATGTGGCTATGGCAACCCCTGGAGGAGCAGGGGCAGTGGAAAGGTGTGAGGTGGCCTCATAGACAGTGGGCAGCCAGCCCCAGCTCACACAGACTGCCAGTGGGCTGCTCAGCTTGTCCCTGAAGTATGGCCAGGTGCTCCGCAGGTTAAAACCTGTTGGTGGCTGCCGTCCTAACAGCAGAGCCCAGTCCTGCTCCTGACCTCCCAGGCTCTTCAGTCTGCCGCTCCCCCCACCTGATACATAGGGTGGCTGATTCCTTGTGTCCTTTTTCTCTCGTGTCACTTCTCTGAAGACAATAGTGCAGTGGGTGGTGTTCAGTCTTAGCATAACACTAAGCACACAGTGGAGCCTGTAAGAAGCAGCCCAGTAACATTCAGTCATCTGTGTGTAAATTCCAAATCCCCTCCACAGTATTTTTTTTTTTTTTAGTATTGGGGCTTGAACTCAGGGCCTGCACCTTGAGTGAGGCACTCTACCAACCCTTTTTTGTGTTGGTTTTTTTCAAGATAGGGTCTAATGAGCTATTTGCCTGGGTCTGGCTTCGTACTGCTATCCTCCTGATCTCTGCCTACTCAGTAGCTAGAATTACAGATATGAGCCACCAGTGCCTGGCCCCCCACAGTATTTTTAGCCTGTACAACTTGTTTCTGTTTGCTTCTGGCCTACCAGAAATTATACACCTGGAAAGGCTGCCTTTGCTTCTGTTTGGATTACTAGGAAGACTGTAGCAGGCAGCTAAAACAAGCAAAAGTACACAGAAGAAAGGGCTAGAAATAGAAATAACAACGTTAATACTATCATGTAATAGATTTCCAATAGACAGCTATCCAAAGGGACCCAATGTCTTCAGTCTTCATTCCAGGCATGCAGGTGTCCCTAGTCTGGTCCATGGGTGAACACCTCACTGACACTGAAGGGGTCCAAGTGGCCAGATCCCACACCTCCACTGAGGTGGATTCTCAGCACAGCAAAACCAAGGCTCCAACCCTCTTATCTGGGAGACCATCTTTTCAGAACCACATCCAGAGCTGCTCCTCCTTCCTACAAATCGATTCAACTTCTGTACTGTGGGACCCTGAGAAGCATTCGAGGGAACAAAGTCAGCCCTCCCATACACACTCCCTGGGTTGTTGAAAAGGTGCTTGGAGATCTACCCTAGCCACTACCTCCTTACATCATGGTCAGCTGCAGCAAGGAACTCCCTTTCCCCATGCCTGGCCCACAGGGGCCAAGTCAGACCGAAGGTGGAAGTGACAATATGGAAGGAACATGCGGCGAGCAGACACACACACCTTGGACTCAACATCCTTTCTTCACCACCAAGAAGAGAAAGAGATTTGTTTTATTTCAGTAATAATTCAGGGGTATACTAATATGTCTATGTCAAAATAATACTGAATGATTTCAGACACATTAATACAGTGGTCATACAATTAATAGGGTCAGACCAGGTACCAACACACTGGGAGACATGCCTGCATTACACAACAAAATAAAAGGCAACTATTTCTCCAATTAGTAAGGGAAAGATACCCAACTAGTTAAAAGCTGTGGAGCGTTATCAAAACCTTTATGTTACATAATGATCTTAGACCCTCAAAAACCATGAAGAAATGGGCAAAGTAAAACAAATGAGAAAAACTGGTTATACTTCATTATAGCAAATATATAGGCATTTTAGCAAAATAAAGCATTAAACCGAAAGCTTAGTAGACACATTTATTGCAATAACTACTTCATCATAGGAGTGGCTTTCATCTACTTGGACAAAGGATAATCGAAAGCAGAGATGAATGAAGGTGAAGAAAGCAAACATTCCCAGCCAGTTTTCACATGAACATGGGTGATGTAGTTTAATGCAGACCAGGACCACACATCTTTGGGGAGCAGGCTTAACTTGCAGTACAGAGTCTCTTCACATAGGATCACAAAAGTAGAATACAATGTGAGCCCGACTTGAAAATTACATTCTGCAGCCCATATTCACACACAGCTCCCAAGAGCTGAGTTTGGTGTTTGCTAGGACTTGCTATGGGAGGTAAGCAGGTAAAAGAACTGGAACAGATTGAAACAGGAAACAAAGGCAGGTACCACAGTCAGACAAGGTCATGTGATGATTTCCATGACCAAAAGAACGCATATGAAAAACTCAACTGGCCTGGAGATGAAGGGACACCCTGTGCTCAGGCCCGCTCAGAGCGTAGCAGTGAGGCATCTCTGCAGGTCACAAGTCACAGAAAACACTATTCTAAGAGAAGGAATCAGCTTTCACAGGACAATGGATGCTTCGGAAGGAAAGGAAAGCATCTAACTCACAAAAATGAAAATTTTAGTAGCCTGGTAAAGGATATGTCTTTATAGTCATTTTAGTATAACCTTGATTTCCCAGTGCATACAATTTAAAAACTCTTCAAGATTTTAAGAACATTCTAAAATTATGATACAGAAAAGCAATCCTAAAACTGTCTTTGGCCAAGAGTTCTAATGTCTTTCACCAAGCCTGCAGCTGCCTGGAGCTGAAGTTATAGAGCAATGGGCTCACTGCCTCAAGACCCAGGATCCAATGAGATCCAAGGGTTCTAGCACATTTCCAGTAGAAAAGACTTCTTAGGGGATTTTAAACAGACGAAGTAATTAGTTTAGGGCTATCTTTTCTTACCATCTTTTAGATATGTAAGGTTATTCCTTTATGCCATATTTTAGCTATTTAAAGGGACAATTTCTCAATGCAAAGATACTGAATTAATCTTTCTGGAAAAAAAAGTTTACCAGAGTTAAAAAAGATGTGTTCTCAACAGGATCAGGTTATGAACGGTGACTACCAAAAGGGGTCTCACAGTGGGATCCACACTATGAAGGCACCGAAGAATTTAGGGGAATTTTTTTGTTAGTATTAGTAGAATCCTCAAGTATTAGCAGAAATATAGATGCACTTTAGCAGGAGAAAAACATAACTTCATGTGCAAAAGAGAAATCCCCTTGTCAGTGACACAAGCTAGAGTCCAGGTATGGAGCAGCCTTAATTCTAAGCAGAGCAGGTAGTACTTAGGGTGTCAGCAGTGGAAAGTTAACTTCCTCTGACAAGACAGAGAGACCTGGTCCTCTGGGCTACTGACAGTTTCTGCTCTCATAAAATAGTACAGGATATGTTTTAACAAGCTTGTCTATTTTACAGCCTTGACCAACAGAAGAAATCCATCACATGCTAGTCAGACAATTCTGCTCTGCTGCAGTGTAACCAGACACTGGCAAACTAATCCACTTTTCAGGTATCTTTTTTTTTTTTAAAAGGTCCACTGACTTCATTTAAATGTTCCCATTCTTACTGATTAGTAAGAAATATTTTAAGTTGTGATCTCACACATAAAAACAACTTGAAGGTATAGAATAGTTGATGTTTTACCCCTTTTTCAGTGTAGTTTCAAGGGGTTTTTGGCTATTAGTTTCCATAATTTTCTTGGGTTGTACACAAAAATAAGATTCCCCCTCTAAAATGCAGAGTATGGGGGAAAAACATACACAGTTTTTTTCAAATAAAAATGTCCATGAAAGAGCAGGACATCCAAACAGACAAAAAACCCACTACCCCATTAACTAGATGGGACCAATCAGGCTTTATAAGGGGAAAAAAAATCTTGTTGCTCTATTTTGCATAATAAAACATACCCTTGTATGCTTTTGTGCTTGGAGTTTACTCCTGATTAGCTCCCAAATTAATCCCCTTTTTCTCATAATTTCCTTTATGTAAGGTGGGTCTATCTCTAGATACTGAAACTTCTACACTTAAAGCTTGTACAACCCACTTAAAAATTACAAATGCTGCCTCTATTTCATGTTCTGATTAAAAACGCACAAAATAAACACAAAAAACACAAACTAAACAAACCACACCACATCGTATGGATAATGATCCAAATGGAAAAGTTAATGTGCTGTAATGATATTTGTTTTGCAACATCAAAAGCAGCGGATTCTGAATATAATTTGCTAAAATCATAAATACTGAGAATGAAATAGGTATGTATAAATCACATTTAGGCTCCATGAACTGAAAGCTCTCTATAAATACATAGAAGTATATATAAAGTGCAAAACAAGCAAGATGAGCGTGAGCTCTGGTATTTAGTACTCCCACTCGTCGGATTTCAGGTCGAGGTAGCTGAGGATGTTCTGTGCCAGCTTCACGGCCTGCTTCCTGGCAGCTTTACACTTCTCTTCTCCTTGTGGGTCAACAGCATCCAGGGCCAGCAACTGCTTGGTCAGCAGCTCCTCCAGCCGGATGTAGTTCTTATCGGTTCGATTTCCGTCAAACGAGAGAACTTCTCCCTGGATCTCTGACAGATTTCCAAGGACGTTCCAGACTGCCTTATGTGATGGGTGCTCCTCGCCAGTGAACAGCTTCCTCTTTTCCAGGGCTTCCTTCAGGTCCAAGTAAGTGATCAGGGTTTGAACTTCAATCACTGCTCTTCTCCTGGCTTCCCGGATGCAGGGGTTTTTTTCAAGACTCACTTCATCTAACTGTCCAATCAAACCCTGCAGTTCTGTCTTGGAGCTCAAATACAGCTCAGGAGGACTTTGTGCTTGGAGAAGTTCATTTTTTATTTCTCTCATCCTCTTAAGGACCTTTTCTATTTTAAGAATGGAATGGTTCTGTCTCAGGTCAAATGCATGCGTGGTGTCAGCTTCCTCTTCTAAATCTAGATACTTCAACAACTTATTGATATCTTCAACTACCTCCCTCCGATAATTTCTGATTTCTGTACGCCCGCACACATCTAAAGCATCCAGATCGGCAATCAACCCTGAGAGCACGCATGATAAGTGCCTGCAAGTCTCACTGCTGTTCACTCCCATCAGAAGTGCGATCAGAGTGCCTCTGGCCTTGTTCACCTCGCACATGACACAGTTGATTTTGGCAACGGAAGGATGTGCATCCTCAGAGAGTGGCAGGGAAGGCTGCTTCTTCATACAGTCTTCGATAATCTCTTGCACCGCACAGATCTTGGTTAGTGTGTGATACCTTGCTTTCCGCAAGGAGATCTTTCCTCCAGTTTTAACATGTGTCAGCCTCAGAATGATGTCCTGGATGCCTTCCTCAAACTCATCAGTTACACAGCTACCTCCGCTGGAAAAGGGCTCAATCTTCTCTTTCACAAGGGCCTGGGCTTCCTTAAAGATGTTCTGTATTTCCAGCCGGTGTGGGTGGTTTGCATTCTGCTCCAACTCTTTGAGAAGGCGTTCTGTCTCCTGTGCTGCCCTCTTCCTAGCTTGCTGAATGTCTCCTTTTCCTTCTGTATCTACAGAGTCTATTTCAAAAAGTTGTTTTGTTAGAATCCTCTCCAGTTTTTTGTAATTCTTGTCATCTGACAGACCACTGAAGCCAATTACTTGCTGTTCAATACTTTTTACTTCCTTTTGGATTTCCTGAAGCCTACTAATAGAAGGATGTTGGTTTCCCATATCCATACTTTTGTTGTGTTCAGTTTCACAAACACTAAAGGATGACAAGAACGATAACTTATTACAGCATAAAGTCTCTGCAGAATGACAATCATATTCTAAAATCCTCATTTTTACACTTTTTTTTACAGCATCAATTATGAATTTCTTCAACCACAGAGAGCAGCATATGCCTTCAAAAGAAGCTGAACAGCTTACAAACAGCACATACATTAACACTGTAAGCTATTTTTGGGAACTGGCAAAGCACCTTTGTGGAATAGCTCTTCTAAACCTTCCAAATGCTCACAGAACCACATCCTGCCACACAGCTACCCCTACTTTCCAGAGAGGAAGCAAGCAGTGAAAACTGAGGTACCGGAAATCCTCATTTTTACGTTCCTTTTCAATTCCTCTCAGCATCTCCAGCCCAGTCTTTCGGCTGCCCACACACCCTTCCTTCACACACCGTCCAAGGGAGAGGAGAAGCAGGAAGGATATGCCTGGGGCTCTGGAGAACTAGCCCCACCCCTGCCCCAAGCATCCCCCGCAAAAACCAGACAACTATGAATAATTCGGTCACTCGCCTCCCATTAAGCATGCTTAGCGCATTTCCCACGCTCTTGAGTTTCTATCGAACGGCTCACTCGGGGTGGACACTCAGCCGAGACCAGCCCCTGCAGGTGTCTGAGCCCAGCGCACGCCTCCGGGGCCGCCTCCGTCCTTCCTCCCTGGCTTGCCCTGTCCTCGCAGCGCTTTACCCCGGAAAGGTCTGGGCAGCGGCGGTCTTGGCTGCCGCAGCAGGGCGTCGAGGTGGGAGATCGGCTCTTCACGGGGAGCGGTACCGGAGCGGGGCCCCCAGCTGCATCCCCCTCGCCCTTCCCGGCTAGGTCTGACCCAGGCAGCCGGTGAAGGAGGGGCCGGCGGCGGCGGCGGCCGCTCCCGGCGTCTCGGCCGGGCACGACGCGCCGCCGCCTGACCTCACAATGGACGCGGGGTGGGAACGGGGCGGCCCGGAAGGGCTGTAGACCAGGAGCCCCGCGCCAAAGGAGGCCGCGCCCGCGCCGGTAGGAGGCAGGCCCGCGCCCCGCCGCGCTCACCTGTACAGCCCACGCCATCGCGCTCTGTCTGCCGCCTGGATTTCCGCAGCGTTGCAGTCCCCCGCCGCGCCCCAAGCCGAGCAACCCGCAACCCCTGAAAAGCCGCGGTAGGCGTTGGCGCCTCACTTCCAAAGAGGCCGCTCCGGCCGCAGAGCCAGCCCACAGCGTGTACTGCGCACGGTCGGCCGCACTGCTCCCTGCGTCAGGTTTTGCGGCCTTGCCGTAAAGCAACGCTTCGAACTGTCGCGATTCTGCCGTGCGCCGCGGCCTCCAGTCGGTGACGGCCATGGCGGCCTTGCAGCCGGGCGAAAAGGCCTTTCGCCCGCTTCTGTGCCGTGCCTTCGCTGGCTACGGTCGTCGGCTTGCCCCCGAGCGAGGTGCAGAGCGCAGGGAGGCGGCGCCGATCCGGGTAAGCGGGTAGCCTGGGGAGGCTAAGCCTGTGCCCGGGACCGGGTGGGCGCCGGACCGCCTGCGGGTCTGACAATCGGAACCGTCCATTGTTAACAGACCAGCTAGCAAGTGTGTACGTACCTTGTTTATTCCTCGGTAATGACTTTTATGTTTACAGAGCTGTCGATGTGGACAGCGCGTATATTTTTTTCCTTTTGTGTTTCTGCTTTGGCCTCCCCCATAAGATTATTGGTGCTCGCCTTCAAGTGATAATTTTGTCACCCTACTTTGTAGGACTTCGCGTCGTGTAGGTGCTCTTGTGTGCAAGCATGCGTGTAACTGGTCAGCCACAAGGAATGTCTGTAACGAGAAAAGAATGGCAAGCGGCGCTTGTAAATTGCAATTCTTTGGGGGAGGATGTTTTGTTTTAGGGAGGCTTAGGTCTCGATTACATCTGTCAGATGACAGTGTTGACTAACCCTGCGGAATGACTGCAGAGAAAACATTTATACAAGACACACAGATTTACCAACGGGCTAATGAAGGAGAACTGGAAAACTTGGTTTAAACAATAAGAGAAGATTTTTTTAAAAGCCAATTAAGAATTGCAAAATGTGTCTGCCTTGTAAATTTTCATTTCTGTTGTGCTGTGGTTTTGAAGTTCTGTCTAGTTTAAGACAGGGCTCAGTTTCCTGGCACAGGGGCCACAGTCCTGACTAGAACATAGCAACCCCCCTGCCCCAGCACTTCAGTCTTTGGGCAGAAAGATACAACAGGTAGCGGATATGCTGTGCGAGGCCAAAATGGAACTCAGCCGAGAGCTTTCTCAGGGCAAGGGCTTTCCCTAGTTTATTCGGTGAACTAGTGCTGGAAACAGAATAGCACCTTACTTTAGTATGTTTTTCTCTATGGTTATACAGAGGTCCTTTTTAAAGTAAAGCCTTACCTGGGATCTGGTCTTTAGAGTGAGACCTCTGCCTCTTGTAGTCCAGGTGACTGCTAAGCCGAAACTGCTTACTGTTGGACTGCCTGTCCTGTGGAAGGTGATAATCTGATGACGACAGCTGGGGGGCAGCTGGCAGTGAGTCACAACTTGCCCAATTCTACCCACACAGCTAGAGCAGTGTTTCTGTTTTCTTTTGTTTTTTGTTTGTTTGTTTGTTTGTTTTGTTTTAGAATCTGAACGCCCATTATCCTAGGCATTGGATGGCTCATAAGAGAACAATTTTTACAGTCAGGGCAATTTGTATTTTCTTTGTGTTTGTTACCATCTTTGTTGCTTCCTAAGTAATTAAATTTTTGCAACAGGGAGAGATTGTTGTCTTTGGGACTTTGATTGTATCATGTCTTAAAAGTAACAGATTGCAAAGTTTTTGTTTTGTTTTACTCAAATAGATGTTATTTTTGTTTTAATCTAATCTATTTTACTCTGCATATTTTTCATTAATTCTTTGTCCTTCACTTGAGTTAAGGAGACCTGTTTTCAGTGTTCACAGCACAGTTTACTCCTATATTTCATCTCTGGGTACAGGTTTTTGTTTTTTTTTTTTTTTCCCTCCATGCTGGAGAGCACAGCCAGAGCCTTGCACATGCTGGGCAAGTGCTACCACTGAGCTACACCCCAGCATTTTTTTTTTTTTTTAAATACTGGGGTCTTGCTATGGTCCCAGTTTGTTCTTGAACTTGTGGACTCAAGTAATCCTCCCACCTCAACTTCCCAAATAGCTGGGACTATACCATGCCTGGTTCCCAACTACATCAGCATTCTTTTTTTTTTTTTTTTTGTCTGTACTGGGGTTTGAACTTAGGGCCTACACACTTGTTAAGCAGGTACTCTACCACCTGAGTCCCACTTCCAGCCCTCCAGGTTGGTTTTGGCGGTACTGGGGTTTGAACCCAGGGCCTTGTGTGATAGTCAGGCGTTTTTATCACTTGAGCCATTTCACCAGCCCTTTTTTGTGATGGGTTTTTTCGAGACAGTTTCTCAAGCAAACTGTTTGCCAGTGGCTGGCTTCAAACTGTGATCCTCCTGATCTCTGCCTCAGGAGTACTGAGGATTATAGGCCACTAGTGCCCGACTTGCATCAGCATTCTTTTGTGTTGTTGTCTTGTGTGAGCACGGGGGTTTGAACTCAGAGCTTCATGCTTGCTAGGCAGGTGCTCTTACCACCTGAGCCACTCCGGCAGCCCTTGCATCAGCATTTTTTTTTTTTTTTTTTTTTTTTTTTTGCAGTACTGGGGTTTAATAAACTCAGGGTCTACACCTTGAACCACTCCACCAGGCTCTCCCCTCCCTTTTTTTTTGTCATGGGTTTTTTTTGAGGTAGGGTCTCATAAACTAATTTCCAGGCTAGTTTTGAAACTTGATCCTCCTGATCTCTGCCTCCTGAGTAGCTAGGATTATAGGTATGAGCCCAGCTTCAGCATTCTTGATGTGACTTGGGTGGTGCAAGTTTGAGCACCACTGGTTTCATTATATGCTTTAGCTTATAGTCCTGAATTTTATTAGCATGTATAATAAATGTTTATTGAGAGTTTGTATACACTATTCTAAGTTAACATATTTTAACTTATTTAATCCCCAGTGTTCTACCAAGTAGGGGCTTTTATCATCTCCAATTTTACGATGAGGAAATTTAATGCATGGTAAGACTGAATAATGTTCTCATGGCCTTAAGGCTTATATGTAAGAAATGTACATATCCATATCCTATATATAGAGGATAATTTAATATTTACATATAATAAATAATGGAACTGCTAGTCTTCTGCCTGTTTTGCTTATGTTTTCACTAAGGAGAATGAATTTTTTTTTTTTTTGGTGGTACTGTTTGAACTCAGGGCCTCGAACTGCTAGGCAGGTACTCTACCACTTGAGCCAGGACCCTAGCCCTTTTTTCTTTGGTTATTTTTTTGGGATAGTCTCATGTTTTCCCCCCTGGCAGGCAGGCCTGGACCACAATCCTCCTATTTATGCTTCCTGCATAACTGAGATAATCAGGCCTCCATGCCCAGCTATTGGTTGAGGTGGGACCTCAAACCTTGGTCTTGATCTCCCAAGTAGCTGGGATTACAGCTGTGAGCTACTGAACCTGACTAGGATTTTTTTTTGTGGGATCAGAGTTTGACCTCAGAACTTTGAGCTTGCAGAGTAGGTGTTGTGGGAATCTCAAGCTAAGATACAGGACACTGAGGCAGTTTAGCAGAAAGCAAGTGCCAGCACAGACTCAGAGGACTGGTGTCCAAAGGCTGAGCCCCAGGAACAAATAGGTCTTACCTTATGTACCCTTGCAAGCAGGTTACAGAAGCAAAAAGCAAAGCTCAACCCACATATGGCTGTATGTGACTTCATTGGTTATTTTATTCCCCCAGTACTATGTGTTCTTCATGTTTCAGTTCTTTAAGTTTTATCTCTCTGCTTTGCCAACCCTTTCCCTGCCTCATTATCAGAACACAGCCTGTCTGTTTCTCTTCTTGTACTCCTCCCTGCTACATAGGCACTCTACTGCTTGAGCCATCCCTCTAGTCCATTTTGGTCTGGTTGTTTTGGAGATGGGGGTCTCGCAAACTATTTAAACCCACATAGCTAGAATTACAAGGCATGAGCCACCGGTGCTCAGTTTGGAAGAGATTTTTAAACCCTAAAATGCAGATACAGAATAAGCATCATTAGGAAGAAATTGGGCCGGGCACTGGTGGTTCACTCCAGTAATCTTAGCTACTCAGGAGGCTGAGATCAGGAGGATCGAGCTTTGAAGCTAGCCCGGGCAAATAGTTTGCTTGAGACCCTATCTCGAAAAAACCCTTCATGAAAATAAGGCTGGTGGAGAGGCTCAAGGTGAAGGCCCTGAGTTTAAGCTCCAGTACTGCAAAAAGGAAAAAAAAGAAAAAGAAAAAAAGAAAGAAATTGGAATTCAAGCTGAAGAAACTTGTGAACTTTAAAGCCCACGCAGATATTCTGATGCTTAAAGGCTTTCACTACATAATTAGAGAAAATAAAAGAGTGGGAGCGTTTTAACAAGCGTATAGTTGACTCCATTATTTTATTTTACTTTATTTTTTAAATCAAGAGATAAGGTCTTGCTATATTGACTAAGCTGGCCTCAAACTCCCGGGCTCAAATGATTCTTCAGTCTCAGTTTCTAGAGTAGCTGGGACTACAGGTGCACACCACTGTGCTAATCATATCTTACTGCTGTTTGGTGGTGCTAGAGATTGGACCCAGGGCCTTGTGCATGCTAAGCAGACCTTCTATCACTGAGCAACACCCTCAGCCCCATTATTTTATAGGGGAGGAAATTGGGGCCCAGAGAGGTAAAGTGACTTGCCTGGTACCACATAGTAAAGTCAGGACTAAAACTTAGGTTTTCCCATTCTGGGTCTAGTTCTCTGATAGGATCAAATGTGTTTTTTTCATTCACTGGAATGATTACATGGTTTCCCCCTTACCTTGTTCATGGGGAGAATTATATTTGTTAATTTTCTTTCTTTTTCTTTTTGTTACTTTTTTGACAGTATGAGATTTGAATTCACGCCTCATGCTTACAAGGCAGGTACTCTACCACTTGAGCCACTCCATCAGCCCTTTTTTTGTGTTGGGTATTTTTATTTTTTTTGGTGGTACTGGGATTTGAACTCAGGGGCTCATGCTTGCCAGGCAGGCGCTTTTACCACCTGAGCCACTCCAGCCCTTTTTTTGTGATTTTTTTTTGTTGTTGGTTGGTTGAAATAGGGGAACTATTTGCCTAGGGCTGGCTTTGAAACATAATTTTCCTGATCTCTGCCTCCTGAGTAGCTAGGATTACAGCCATGAGCCACCAGCGCCCTGCTAATGGGAAATTTAAGTCATACTAAAGGTAGAAGAATAGGTCTGGGATGTAGCTCAGTGGTAGAGCACTCGTCTAATATGTAAAAGGTCCTGGGTTCGATCCCCAGTACCTAAAAAGAAAAAAGAAGAAAAGATAGAAGAGTATGATGAATTGTTTTGTGTCCCATACCCTGCTTCTGCAGTCACT